GCCTTCGGTTTCGCGAACAGAGAGCTGGAAGCGAATTTTTTCGGAAAAGAGGGAGACCGTGCGGGATGAAGGGAGGAAGAGGTTTAATTTTAAGTGGGTGGGGCCTATTCTGTGAGGCGTACGCCTCACCCAGAATTGCGCAATTGCGCCTCTGAGGCGCGCCTCAGTCCAGGTGAGGCGTACGCCTCAGCCAGGTGAAGAATTGCGTAAGCCTCGAGGCGTTTTTTGGTCAAATTGCGCAATTTTAAACAGAGGCTAGAAAATGTGCAAAATATAGAGTTATAATTTTACGTCTTAGCGTTGTACGGATATCCAGCTCCACATAGAGAACACAAGATTTTTTACATAGAAAACCCTGGAAAGGGGAAAAACCACGGGGCTTGGCCCGGTTGAAAATCATTATACTAGAATTCGAGTACATTACTATGGGTTGACTCGTCCTTGAGGGTGATCAGATTACAAATGCCAACCGTATGTGGTTGAATTTAGTGACAAATAGGAATATAAGTCTGGCGTCACTTGGTGGTATGTCAGAAGTTCGGAGTTACTTGGAAATTCAGGCATTAGATAGTAGTCTGATGGTGATTTGGCAGAACTTCGACGTTAGACGGTGGTCCAACAGAATTCCGATGTTTGGCAGTGGTCCGATAGAACTCCGGTGTTTGGTAGTGGTCTGGCAGAACTCCAGGCATTGGGTGGTGGTCCGGCAAAACTCTGAGTGTCATGTGGTGGTCTGGCATAACTCAGGGTGTTAGGTGATGGTCCGACAGAACTCCGAGCATCAGGTGGTGGTCTTGCGGAACTCCGGGCGTGAGGTGGTGGTCCGGTGAAGCTTAGGGCGTCCGGTGGTGGTCCGGCGGAACTCAGGGTGTCAGGTGGTGGTCCGGTGGAAGTCAGGCCATCAAGTAGTGGTCCTGCAAAACTCTGGGCGTCAGATGGTGGTTTGTTGGAGCTCAAGGCATCAGGTGGTGTTCTGACGAAACTCAGGGCGTCAGGTGGTGGTTCGGCGGTGGTCGAGGAGGCAAGGAGGCAAGAGCGATCTCCGATCTCTCTCTTTTCTCCTTAGGCTTAGGGGTACCCTTCCAAGAGGAATGAGGGGTCTATTTATAGATTTCCTAGAGTGGCATGACCCGTAAATAGGAGGAAGATCAAGGGTAAATGGGGAGTGGTTTGGATGGTCGATATTGAATCCCTTGATCGTGGATTGTTCACTAGACATTTGAATGTATTAATGATGTCGGAATTCCGTGATCTTGGGCTAGTTGGATTCGTCTCATTGAGCCGCTCGATTCGACTATAAGCATGTCACGTTTGGAAATAGTTTGGTAATCCGAATTGTGGTTCGAACCTTGCAACAACGCTTCGGGCCCTTGTTTGGACCCATTTGGGCTCGGATTAAGTTGAATTTGGTGTCGTTGGGTTCATATTTTCGAGATGTTCAATTCGATTGTAAGTTCGTTGAAATCGGAGTTCGGATTATCCCAATTTTAATTTTGGAAGTTTCCAACCTGATTTTGCCTCGAGATTCGTGCCCGGTCATGATAAATTTTTGATGACGTATCAGTCACAAATAAAAAGTTTTGTCTTATAAAGAGTTAACGAACAGCAAAACAAAAGTAAGGGCCGGTCTAATAAGGTTTTAGGCCTGGTGAACGTGATTTCTGGAAAATCAAAATAATTGTTACATTATGCTGCTTTTTGTTATATAGAGAGGAAATTATATGAAGTATTTAAAACTTGTTAAAATTAATTAAATAGGCACGCGCTTACAATTTAATATAGAAAATAATTTAATGGTCAAGCTGCTTGCAAGTCATGTTGAACTCAATAAAGATCACGAGTCATGGTGGAAGTCTGGTCACTATACTCCTGCATCAGAATGTGCCTAATTTTCATTCTTTAATCTTAGTTGGGATTATTTTTACAGTGTTAAGCATAGAAGCCATCCAAAATAACGCTGTAATTGCAATTCAAGCTTAATATTTCATCAGTATGTTACTATTTTTGCGAAAGGCATTTGCTGCTGGTATTCTTCCATAAATGATTAGAAACACCTTTGTCCATTTTTTGCCTGAGAAGTGGTGTTTGCTAATGTCTTGTCGATGCTATAGAATACCACTTGGTACTCCTGACCTATGTCAATCACATTATAATTTTAATACATACTCTTCAAATCCCATTTTGAAATTTTAAATTATTTTGCAGGTCTTGTTGAAACTGATCCAGAGGGTGCATTATCTGGTTTTGCTGAAGTTGTGCGTATGGAGCCTGAAAAAGCAGAGTGGTATGCTTTTATGCTGTTTTTATAAATAGTGAAGTTACATGCTTTATAAGATGCTGAAATCTTTTAATAGATTTTTACGTTTTTGTCTTCTGCTTTATACACTTGCCACATTGCGATGGTAGCTACTGAAGCTTTTCTAGGACACGGTAAACAAGTCGCACCAACATTTTATGTTCTTACATGGATGAAATATTTATTGGCATTAGCGTATGGTCTATCAGAAAGCTGATATAACATTTTTTGTGAGCGTTGGAATCAATTTGGGACAAGCTGCTGGTATTTGTAATGAGATGATGTATCAAATCAAAACATGTTTGCAATTACTTGCAATTTTAAAGACAATAAATTTCAGTTACAGGATTAATACCGTGGTTGGGACTTAATACTGGATATGCTGAAAATGCTTTCTTGTAGCATTACAGTAAAAAGGGTCATGAAGGAAAATGCATTTTTAGATTGTGATGATAATTGATACTATTTTGCTTAGAATTATTGTAAGAAAGTTAGAATTCTCGTAAAGATTGTAGTGTAAATTAAAAGCTATAATTTTATGATTTATATGACAGGCTTCGCACTAATGAAGGAATATGATAAGATATTTAGAGTAGCAAAGGCAAAATATTAGATATCTAGAGATCAAGTTAATGGCATAAGAAGTGTAGATAATCAGATCTTGGTTAAAGATGAAGATATTGAGGTGAGATAGAAATGCTATTTAGATGTTTTATTAAATGAGATTTTATTAGAAATGATCTTTCTAATAACGAGAATTTAACTATTAACGGGACATAATGGAGAAAAATGATTCATGTAGCCGACCCCACGTAGTGTGACAAAGGTTTGATGTTGTTGTTGTATTAAATGAGAGTTTAAACTTTAAAGGAATAAATTATTTTGAAAAATTATAATACAATATATTGAAGTATAATATAGATTTATCCAAAAGGTTTACTGAAGTTAACTTTGAACAAGATGCATAAATGAAATGTTTTTAGGTCCAAATGAGAGATCTTACAAATGAGATATCTTACATTTTTAATTTTAGAGAGTTATGGGAGATGTTATCTTGATTTGCTCTGTAAATATTTTCAATAGAAATTTAAAAAATAAGTATGTCAAATGATTAGTGAAGAATTTTCGCACTAATATTTATGAACAAAGGTGATGTTTAAGATTGTGCTAGCTATGTAAGAGAGTATCGGAATGGAACTTAGAAAAACTACATCAATTTTGGCAACAAATTTAATTTAATGACAAAAATATCTACATGGAAGCTACACAATTAATGAAAAAGTGTAGAGAGCAAAAGAAATGTCATAATATAATTATTGAGTTCAAATCTTTTTTATATTGATTATGGAGATGTTTACAATTATATTCAAATTTAGGTGCCTTGATGTATAATTTTTTTTTATGATAATATAGTTCTACTTGGTGAGGTAGTCACTCAAGTAAGTAAAATATTAGAAAAATGGAGAAAATAACTTGTAGATAAAAGATTTAGAATTAGTAGCATAAAGATTGAATATATATGTTTTGCAAATTTAGTTGGTGTAATTTTAATAATTATCCATGGTTTAAAATTGCGCAATAAGAGGCATGCCTCAACACAATTTCGCCCCTTTAAGCCTCAAAGCCCACGCAATGAGTTCAGATTTTGAGGCGTACGCCTCAAGTTTACTAAGGCGCGTCTCGCCTCACGGTTGAGAGGCGTCCGTCTCTAAAAATTAAAAAAATAAGCTAGGCACATTCTCGGTATCGAGTAGGTACATGCTCGATACAGCTCTGTACTCGGTACCGAGCATGTACATACTCGTACATGCTCGGTACCGCTTAGTGCATGCTTGGTACTGCTAGGTACATGCTTGGTACCGGTCGGTATCTTTCCATACAAACAACAGGTCGAACCCCGCTAGGGGGCAGCGCCACCTTGGACCCCGGCAGATCGGTATATTATTGTATTCATCATCTTTAATAATAGTTGTTAGTATTAGTCTGCTTCTTCATGAGTGCATCCTTTGTATAAGTTTTCTTAATGTAGAATAAGATGTAGAATAAGTGAAGCATAATTGTTCAAAAATATTTAGGGAAGAGGAAGATAACTGATATTGAGGAATAAGGAGCTGATTAGCAGACATTGGAATAAGGAGCTGATTAGGAGACATTGGACTCTATAGGAGAGGAGGAAAGGGAGAGAGCAATTCATCATAATGACTCTATAGGAGAGGATGAAAGGGAGAGAGCAATTCATCATAATGATGATTTAAATGAAGACCCCCTTAGTGATGACAGTGATGATGACTTATGAGTTCTTGTGCATTTTTATGTTTTATATATTATTTACTCATTAGTATATACAAAATTTATCATTTTATTTTTACGCAATTTTTTTATTTTTAGGCTTACGCCTCGCCTCACGAGCAAAAAACGCCTCAATACCCGATTACGCATTTTTAAACATTATAATTATCAAACTTTTTTTCTTTAAATAAGGTGATATCTAAGTGACATATTTTACGTATCTATTATATAAAATAATGGAGATATAAATGATGATATAACTTACAAGATCAATGTTGGATGATTAAAATAGGGATATACCTCAAGAATACCATGCAAAGAGGATTCTTTGTAGACTTAAAAGATAAGTTTTATAAAATTGTGGGCTCCAAAAATTCACACCTCAGCCTATTCGCATCTTTTTTTAAGGAGGAGAGTTTTAATTGATTAAGTTTCTGGGTAGATGAGACGTTACCCAGAGATTTCTCCCTCATTTCACATGGACTTAAGATCAGGTTCCTAGTTTCCCATAGGCATAAGCCCCTATAGTTAATTACCCCACTAGGTAACATGAGAAAACTATCGATTAAAGCTAACCGTTAGATAAACATTCAATACTTGGTAATATAGCATCAACAGCTTTAGGATTTAGATTTGGATTTGAATTTTTAAGATTTAAAATTTATCATCGCATTCTTAAAGCGGGTGGTGGTGGAATGATGAGGTGTTTGATCAAAATCTTATGGTCCTAGGAAGCCTTGATCCTTAGTTTATTTATTTAGAAAAGGTTGTCGACCCAACATGACCACAAAATCTTTGTTAGTAACTATTGGTTGCTTCGTCTAAGGGTTACTAGTAGATTTATGATGGATATTTGTTTAAGAGGATTGATTTGAGTAAACCTTAGCTAACAGAGAGTTATGTGTCATATCAAGCATACCTTATAATTCATTAATCAAGGGTTTGGATTTATTGGAGAACATGTGAGCTTTGATTGTAATCATAATATAATGATGTTATTTTGCAGCAAAACCTCTCAATCAGAAGGCCCTGGTCATAACAAGTTATTGTTCGTATCATTTGGCAGCAAAATCATCGATTAGAGGACATGCGTCATATCCTTACTGGCGATAGATCATTGAGAATGAATCTTAGCAGTACGGTCAACAAGACATTTGCTATAGCTGGGTTGAATTTATTTTCAAATTTATTACCCTCAATAAACAATTTTGGAAGATGGATGAATTTTTGTTTGAAGTTATAGTTGATTAATTTCACTTTAAATATTCTAATTTTGATATATATAGATTTTTTTTTATATAAAAATTTAAGCCCTGAAAAATTAACTTTAGAATTTGGGGGCATTTTTTTATTTTCTAAAAAAATATTTCATGCTGCATTCACGCAATGCTCTGGTATGTTTCATAATTCCTTGCATGATACACCTACATGAATCTTAAAGCATTTATTACGTGCATGTCTATTCACACGATTTTTTATGTACATATGCAATGCACTTGCATAATTAATGCTACACTTATACGCTTCTATGTGCAATTGTACACTACATTTGCATGACTTAGATACACTTGCGCTATAGTATAGGGTACACATAGTGAAGCTTTCTTTTGGTGATTTCATGCATCCCACACACTTTATTAAAAAGCAATCGTCCAACCCGTGACATGTTATAGTGTACAATTTTATTTCTTTTTAGAAGTATTTGTATACTGGGTGTATGACTTTTTTTTTATTAAAATTTATATACTGGGTGTATGACATATTCACATGATGTATGTGAGTTCCCTTTCTCAAGTTGTAAGCGTGTATGTTTTATAGGGTACTCGTACACTTGTGACTTATAATATGCTTTCTTCATTTTATTTTGCTCAGAGGCATTCACGTGAAATAATTGTTGGAGATTTATGATGATCCAAAATGGCATTTACATGAATGTGCTGTCATGGAGTTGCACCTGCAATTTCATATTTAGGTTTATTATTGTTATAATTCATAGAATTGGAGAATGGTAAAAATACCTTCTACTTATTATACAAAATTATCCCTATTTATAGATCTATACAAGATGTCTTAATAAAGAAATAAATAACTTCTAATTGATACATAATTGCCTCAATATAATCCTTCCTAATTCAGCTACCCAAATATAGAAGGATATTGGCGTGATCCAAGTGTGCCTCCCACGGATTCTCATCCTGACCGTGGGATCAAATGCCAATGGATGACTGAGATTTTGACACTCCCCCTCAAGCTGGAGATCAGCTTGCAATTACTCGCTCAGAGGTAGTAGAGCTGCATTGGTTCATGAGAGCATCCCACGGATTGATCTCTGTGTCCGTCGGATCCTTTGCACTGGGAACGGCTGGATGGCGTGATCCATGAGAGCATCCCACGGATTGATCTCTGTATTCGTCGGATCCTTTGCACTGGGAACGGTTGGATTCTAACACTCCCCCTCAAGCTGGTAATACAAATGTCATTATCAGCTTGGTAATTAATCACACAAAGTAGAGTTACCATAGAGCCCTCTATTTTGGTCAAACTTTGGGGAAAAATTAGCTTCAGATATTGTGACAGTGGCAAATGATAGTGATGAAGGCTATATTAAGCAGGGCAGCAATGAAGGTTGCATTGGTTATAGATAGGATAGCAACCACAAGAGAAAGTCGGCAATGAAGGCTGGTTGTGGGAACTTGTATTCCTCGGAATTCCAGCAATGAAGGCCGGTGATGGGAACATCCTCAAAATTCCGGCAATGAAGGCCGGTGGTGGAAACTAGTATTCCTCAACATTCTGGCAATGAAGGCCGATGATAGGAATCTGTATTTTTCATAATTCCGGCAATAAAGGCCGGTAGAAGGACTAATATTTCTCCAAATTCTGGCAATGAAGGCCACAACCACAAAACAGAGGGCACGAGCAGTTTGGACTTACTCGACTCTCGTTCGATGTCCTACGGCAATGAAGGCCGCTTGCACAAAACAGAGGGCACGAGCTGTTTGGACCGCACGACTCTTGTTCGATCTCCAACGGCAATGAAGGCCGCTTTCTCCTCTCTGCTTTCGTTGATTCATATACCCCAGACGATTCCGACAATGAAGGTCGGTATTTATAGTAGCAATAAAGGTTGATTTGATCAGCAATAAAGGCTGATTTGCTTGTATCAGCAATAAAGGTTGATTTTATCATGTCAGCAATAAAGGCTGACTGATTAGGTAATATCAGCAATAAAGGCTGAAAACCTTGCCAAAACAAAAAAGAATTGGTTTCCTCTGGGTTTAATGAGCCGAGCCTTAAGAGGCTCGGGTACGAGCCCTTTAAGGCTTAAATGACTGAGCCCAGTCTTCTTTTCGTTTAGCACAGCAACAACTAGGGCACGGGGTACTGCAGGCGAGTCGCTCAAGTCTCCATCCCGTTGGTCTTCTGGCGTCAGCTTGACGATAGCGTCGGCGTGAGGGCGGCGTCGGCGAGGGCTCAGCCTTGCATGGATTCGTCCGAGCTTCTTCCTTCTCGGCGAGGGCTCCGCCTTGCCTGTCCGAGCGTTGGTATTTCGGCATCGGCGAGGGCTCCGCCTTGCCTAGCTTCGTCTAGTAAGGTTTCGGCTCCTTCCTTCTCATCTTTCGACGACTCCGGCTTCGAGCTTCGTCTGGTAAGGCTCCGAATCCGTCCTTCTCGACTTGCTCCTATGATTTCCTCTTTACTTTCTTCGAGGCTCTGATACCATGTTACAATTCATAGAATTGGAGAATGGTAAAAATACCTTCTACTTATTATACAAAATTATCCCTATTTATAGATCTATACAAGATGTCTTAATAAAGAAATAAATAACTTCTAATTGATACATAATTGCCTCAATATAATCCTTCCTAATTCAGCTACCCAAATATAGAAGGATATTGGCGTGATCCAAGTGTGCCTCCCACGGATTCTCATCCTGACCGTGGGATCAAATGCCAATGGATGACTGAGATTTTGACAATTATTGTTCATATTTAAGTGCATCATCACTCACATTTTTTTCCGCTTGCACGTGTATCAAGAATCAGAATGGGAATGCCTTGAAACAACTTTTTTTTCATGTTTTACATATGTATACCTTTCTCGTCTTTATGTGATTGGACTTTAGTTTGGAGGTCCCACATATGATTCATTTTTCGGTTAGGGAGCCTCCTTTAGTTCATTTCATCTTTAGCTTAGAGGATGTATTTTCTCAAACTCTTGAGTGTTTGTGAGTGTTCTAGAGTTTAAAAGGAAGACCTGTTTCGCGCTCGTGGTGAACTATTAAGTTCACTATAGTTGGCAATGTGACTTCTAACATAATGGAGAATTTACCAGAGTCTTTTGATTTTCCTAATTTAGGAATGTGACTTGAATTTTTACTCTCTTGAACCAAGACAAGCCAGTATTTTGTGTCATTTCCTATCTAGTTCTTGGTTTGTTCAAGACTTATTCTAGATTCAAGGCTCTTCCAAATAGTTCAATTTATTTGGTTTTTTGTTCCTTAGGATCCGATGACAACAAATTCTTACTTGCTTATGGTAGTTCCTTTATCATGCTTGTCGGGGTTCTTGGAGAGAAATGGGAGAGAGGAAGAGGGGAAGGAGAGATCTCCATACACTTGGACAGAAATCTTATTGATTTGCATGTCTTGCGTTGTCTATTACAACCTATTGCAACTACTTAAAGACACCAATGGCAAAACAAAGCTACACAAGAACCTAAAGAAAGTACAACTAAAAAACTAACATAAATTTGGACCAATTCCTGACAATCTCCGCCTTGATCTAGAGTTTATAAAAAAAAAACATCTTTCTACAATCATCCATACCGAGACTCTGGCAAACTCCATCCATCTTCTCCGGCAAATCTGATCTCAGGAGCCCAAGCTTAAGCTCTATCTCCTTCAGATTCAACTCGATCTTCTCCCCACCCCCTGCATCTTCACCAAACGCCCTGCCTTCGATCCATAGCACCCGCACCTTCTGTGCAGTGCCTGCCCCATTCGAACCCCCGCTTTCGCCCACACGACCGCCCACGCCTGCACAAGGCCTAGCACACGTCCTCCCCGTTCCCTATGTGTCTTCCCGTACCCCGCACCCCGCATCTAGCATTCTGTGCCCACGTTCGCCAGCGCTCACGCGCCTGTGCGTGTGGTTCGATCCCGCGCTACCCAGGCCTCTAGCATGACTCCGTCATCCATACGTGACCTAAACCTCCAGCCTTTCGATCAGTGTTCTTGCGAGTGTTTTCCCGCGTACGTCCACACCCCGATCCCAAGGCCTCGCGTGCAACCACCTACACGACCCAAATTTGCTGCTCTAGCCCTCACTCACGAGCCTGCATGCTTCCTGCGACTAGCCTACCGCCCGACCCAATGTAGGTCTCATTCACGCACAATGCCTTCCTGCGTATCCACCCACACGTGGTCATTAGTGTCGATCGTCTTGATTGTAGCACTCCTAACTCCGGCGGGTTTTGCCTGAGACCTCCCGAACGCCTCCTCTCTCTTCTTGGACTACAGGAACACTTTCCTCCTTCCCTGTGATCACCTCCAGCTGGCTCTGATACCAATTTGTTGGGATTCTTGGAGGATTCTTGGAGGATTCTTGGAGAGAAATGGGAGAGAGGGAGAGAGGGAGGGAGAGAGCTTAATAATCTTGGATAGAAATCTTATTGATTTGCTTGGCTTAGGTTGTCTATTACAGCCTATTACAACTATTTATAGACATCAATGGCAAAATAAAGCTACACAAGAACCTAAAAAAAATACAACTGTAAAACTAACATAAATATGAACCAATACCTAATAATACTTTATATTGGAGGATATGTAGCTTTGGTGATAAATGTTTTACTTTACAAGCAAGAAGCTTTATTCTTTTAGTAGGGAAACATTTCAAATATTTTATTGGTATCTTAGCCATCTTACCCATGCCTTAATTTCTAAATACATTTAATACTTTTTTATCATTTTAGTCAACTGGTTCCTCATATCCTTATTTAAATGGTTGAACTATATACTTTCATGTAGCTTGTGAGATGAAGTATTCATGCTTTTTTAATTATGTGAGCCTAGTGGGGTTTCTCCTCAGCGTTTAGCGCGGTTTCATGCTTTCCTGCTTGTGGAATTAGTCAGTATAGTATTGCATCTTATGAGAACTTGTATGCACTTACTGAATAATAATAGCTGTTTTCTAGATATTCTCAAGGCAATGAACTATTCTTAGTCGTCCCTTTTTGTGTTTTATGATCCCTCTCATGAACGTATATATTTCTTCATTGATGGTGTAACATGAACATATCATTATTTTGAAGCGTTATATGATGTATTTAATTTCTAGATTCAAGTAACGTTTCAATCATAAAATGATAATTTCCGTGCAGTTGTTTTCTATTAAAGGGCATTTTTTATACTTAATTGGCAATATCTTTTCCCCACACTTGCATGGTTTAACAGGCCATGGTTGACACAATTTTTTTTATGCTGCTGTGCGGTCCTGGTACTTAGATCTTTGCCTGTTTTTTTAGCTCCTTAAAAGTTTAGCCTTTTTTTCTTGATAACTAGGGGGTTCAAAGCTCTAAAGCAAACTGTTAAGCTTTATTATCGACTTGGGAAGTATAAGGAGATGATGGAATCCTATAGGGAAATGCTGACCTACATCAAATCAGCTGTCACACGCAACTACAGTGAAAAATGTATTAACAACATCATGGATTTTGTCTCCGGACCAGCAGGTCAGAATTTTGGTCTTCTGCAGGAGTTTTACCAGACAACACTAAAGGCACTTGAAGAGGCGAAGAATGAGGCCTGACATCTTTCCCATTATAACCTATTGCGTTTGCACATTCATCTACCCCTCAGCCCCTGACTTTCCCTGTCCTTTCTTGTTTGTTGAAATTACACCTGTTTATTTTGCAGAGGCTATGGTTTAAAACTAACCTGAAACTATGCAAAATTTGGTTTGATGTTGGTGAATATGGTAAAATGAACAAGGCATGCTCTACTGCTCTACTTGAAATTGATTTTTTCTTGGCTCATCCAGCATTACGCATGCAGGCACAATTCTTATTTTCTTTCATACTTGTAGATACTGAAAGAACTCCACAAATCTTGTCAAAGAGAAGATGGCACTGATGATCATAAAAAGGGTACTCAACTATTGGAGGTGTATGCTATTGAGATTCAAATGTATACAGAGACAAAAAACAACAAGAAATTGAAGGTGTGATTTTGTGTAGTCTTTT